TGTCCAAACCTTTGGCACTTAAAGCAGCGCTGAGGGTTCAGCACGTAAGGCCGGACACGGCACTGAAGGTAGCATGCCTTTACATTAGTGGGTAGAGTCGTGGAGTTGAAAGTCAGAATGACATGCCTGGTTTTGCGTTCTATGCCGTCGCGACGGTTGGTGATGCGTCGTGCTGCAACCACTCCTTGTCCAGAGAGACTCTCAACTAGCCCTGTATCTGTCAAGTCGAGCAAGTAATTTTCAGAGATGACCCCTTGGACGGTGTTCAACTTTCGATGAGAGGTCACACTGACCTTCTAGTCTGAGACGGAGTTCAGGACTAAAGTTATTCACTTTGTTTCTTTGTATTTAGATCAACAAGAAGGTCGCATGATGCCATCTTTTTGGCGCTAAAGATCGCACCGATAATACCTTCAAGCACTTTGGATACTAAAAATGGAGAAAGTTTAGCGAGTGGCTTTTCGCCCTCAGAGTGCAAAACAAGAGACTTTGGGAATTTTAAAATATCAGGGGTCTTAGTGGAAATGTCAAGGACTTCGGTGCAGGTCCTTTTCAGGACCCGATCAGGTGGTTTACTTCTGGAACCCATGAAGATGGGAAGGAATTTCAGTGCCCGGGTGCACCGCCCACCACGGAGCCCAACGAGGCGGTAGGTAATGTGCCATAGCAAGAAAGGTTTGGCTGACACATTTACTCTACCAGTGCTGCCCGGGCACTATACCCGAGTGTGGATGCAGGGACAGCACCTGCTTCCACCCAAGGTTAGCCCTTGCCGCCTAAAAAGGTGAAAAAGGAAGGAAGAGAGTGCAGAAGAAAAGAGAAAGAGGTGGAAGGAAAAGTGAAAGAAGGAAGAAGAGGGTAGAAGAGGCGACTGACTGAATCATCCTGGTCGGGCCAAGCCAGAATACCCGTCTACGAGAAGCAGAGACCGAAGCGGTGTATTGCCTCGCCCGGGGGCCCCGAAGAGTCCAAACATACCCCGGGCTCAGCTCAACCACCAGGGTCCCCTCTTTCCCGGGCATAGGTTAAGCCATGCACAGCCAGACTTGGATGGGCGAACCCACATGGCTCGGGGTTCGTAGTGACGCCACTCACCAAGCACCTAGCAAAGCAGGTGCCCCCTGCGTGCGGGTATGGCGGCCCACGTGGCTGGGGTCCGTGTGTAGCGCTACTCACCAAGCACCTAATACCTAAGCTGTAGGCGCCCCTGCGGGGGTGGTTTCAAGGAAAAACCATGTTTCCACCCAAAGTTGGCCCTAACCACCTAAGGAGGTGAAAAGAAAGGAAGAGAATGTAGAAGAAAAGAGAAGGAGGTGGAAGGAAAAGTGAAAAATGAAGAAGGGGGTAGAAGAGGCGACTGACTGAATCATCCTGGTCGGGCCAAGCCAGAACGCCCGTCTACGATCAGCAGAGGTCGAAGTGGTAAATTGCCTCGCCCGGGGGACCTTGAAGGGTCCAAACGTTACCCGGAATCAGTTCCAACCAGCAGGATCACCCTTTTCCCCGGTCACGGGGGAAGCCATGCACAGCCAGGCGTCTGTGGATGAACCCACATGGCTCGGGGTTCGTAGTGATGCCACCTGTAGTGCCCCCTGCACGTGGGTATGGGGGGCCCACGTGGCTGGGGTCTGTGGTGACACCACTCACCAAGCACCTAACACCTAAGGTGTAGGCGCTCCGTATGGGGGCTCAAAACGGTGATTATCGGTGAAAAAATCGGCTTTGTACACCCTTAATGTACACAACGTGAATAAATGCTGCCATAGCGAGAGTAATTGACGTTCAATATTTTGAATGAGTTTGACAGGCATGCCGAATGTTAAAGTTTTTTTTTTTTTTTTCGTGTAGCGGCAGCAGTAACTTTAGTCTCAGAATTGCCAAAAAGACGCAGAGCTTCATTTTGTGTCTTAGTTACGTTTTTGTTATCGAAAGTTGAGACAAGACGCACAGATTCCAGGTTTCGCGGTGGAAGTGGCAGGATTTTCAGAGCACTTTCTGCAACTGTGAGGTGGACAGAACGTATACACACATCAGCCTCTCTATCCAAAAAAAGTAGAACAGTTCCAGCGAACCCAAGACAGGGTGACATCAAACCGAACCCACAGTCCCAGAAGCCCTTGAAAACTAAACAGGTAACAAAGAATGTATCTGCGTCCCCAGGCGAAGAGACGTGCTTTCCAAGGTCAGTGGCCATAGACCACACTAGTGCTAGTGTCTTCCAACCACAGCAAACTCTGAATAGGCACTGGAAGGATGCAGGACCCACGAGATAACGCGTTTGAAGCACCTCTACAAGGGTGGAGTTTCGAAGAAAATAGCCGTCGCAAGGGCGGAAATATTCAACGACCGGTGTTTTGCGGTTTTAATCAGGCCAAAAACATTCAACCACCGGTGTTTTTCGGTTTTAACAAATTTTGTATCTTCAGCACCGGCGGATATTTATCGGTGTTTAAGGAACTTCTGTTAGCCCTCTAAATATGGCGTTTTCGCGATTTTCAAGTATTTTAAAATAAAATAGGTCTTGCGCAAATTATTTTTGTTGTTCATTGCGCTCAGTGGTTTAAAAGGAACGAATTCAGTTATTTTACTAGGTTCTTTTCAGTGTGTTGCCATGCCCCACGTGTGCGCAAGAACATGGCTTTTTTCTGAATGTGCATAGCATCACAAACATAAAAAACTAGCTATATCAAAACTACTCTAAAATACCGCAGAAGTGCCCACTTCGCTTACGCGCCCACTATTAACATTTTTCAAACTTGGGAAGTATGCAAATTATATGTTAACTCCCAACTTATGACAAGGAGATAAAGCACTATAAACTGTTAAAATTTCATTCTGTTATCGTAAATAATTTAGAAAAGATGTTTTCCCCTGGAGCATGTCCCCTTAAACTCGCAGAAGCTGAAGAGACATCACGGTACCCGAGTGGATCTGGACATTTCATTGAACACCGTTTCAAGGCGTACCACCGCAGGCGGTTTCGTCGAATGCCTTTTCATTGAATGCCGCCTTGTAGAGCACTAAAGTACTGGATCTACGAAATAGTTCTAACACCGGAAGGTTATCAGTGTTATAATAATCATCCTAATTTCTCTCTTGTCCAGCAGAGTGGGGTTAGAGTGAGGGAGTGAGAAAGGCGGGGCATGTCCTCCCCAGCAGGCGCTCCATATCTTCTGCCGTGCTCTGGCTGCGCGCGTGCGCTCGAGGTGTCCGAGACGCGTTGTCCAAGGTAGGAAGCTGGTACTCGAGGCGGGAAAACTCGAGCTCCTCCCTGCTGTTCCCACCTCATCAGTGACTAGAGTAAGAAGAAACTTGCAGTTCTGTGCTACTTCTTCCATTTCTAGGCTTTTTAATGCAACTTATGATTTCTGCCGTTCATGTGACCAGTAAGAAACGGCAGCACCGACTTCACATTTTTCTTTTAAACTTGCGATCATCCAGTACCGAAGTTATGTCCCTTCAAAGGCGCATCCACTTCCTTGGAAGATGCATACTATTCTACAAAAACGAAACCGTCCTTGAAATAATGACCTGTTTCTATGCCACACGAAACAAAAGAGACTTGTTAACATTTCCTAATCGTCAGAACCATGAACCTGCTTGCTTTTTGACTATATATGTTCTTATGAAGGAAGCAAATCTTTTATAATAAAATGAAAACAAAAATCAACACACAAATACAAAATTAAAAAGGTGCAGCGGAGAATAGTTGTATCTCTTTTGAAAAAGAGGGAACAAAGTGTGTGGTGGAGAATTGCCCCCTACCCTATCAGAAAACGAGAAGTTCCACTCACTCAAGTTTTATGTAGTTACCTTGTATGGTTCAGTAATCAAAGTTTTGGTGAAAGAGTGACCAGGGAACAAATTTATTTTTGGTGATTCGTCCAGTGTCAAAGCAATTTAAGAAGCAAGAGTAAAACATGCAAGCAGCACTTTAACAATTGTAAGTTCGATAAAGACACATTCTATGAAGCGGCGTTCAATGAAATGTCTACTTATTTTATGAAACGGCGTTAGATGAAATGGCGTTCGATGAAAAGGCGTTCGAGGAAATGGCGTTCGAGGAAACGGCATTCGAGGAAACGGCGATCGAGGAAACGGCATTCGAGGAAAGGGAGTTCGAGAAAACGGAGTTCGAGAAAACGGAGTTCGAGAAAACGGAGTTCGAGAAAACGGAGTTCGAGAAAACGGAGTTCGAGAAAACGGAGTTCGAGAAAACGGAGTTCGAGAAAACGGAGTTCGAGAAAACGGAGTTCGAGAAAACGGAGTTCGAGAAAACGGAGTTCGAGAAAACGGAGTTCGAGAAAACGGCGTTCGAGAAAACGGCGTTCGAGGAAACGGCGTTCGAGGAAACGGCGTTCAAGGAAACGACGTTCAATGAAACTGTGTTCAATGAAACTGTGTTCAATGAAACTGTGTTCAATGAAACTGTGTTCAATGAAACTGTGTTCAATGAAACTGTGTTCAATGAAACTGTGTTCAATGAAACTGTGTTCAATGAAACGGCATTCAATGAAACGGCATTCAATGAAACGGCATTCAATGAAATGTCCGTTATTTACACCCGAGATGCCATACTTTTTCGATAAGCAAACTTTGTAGATGCCAAGCTGACCACCGGTACATGCTTTTTCATCCTTCGCACACGATGAATGGAACAGATAGTAAATTAAAAAAAGGTTTGCGCTAGCTTCAGTCTAAAAAAGAGTAAAGCCAAATAGGAGGCGATAAAAAGCCAGTCCGGAAAAGGAAAATCCGACAAACACGACAGCCCTTTGGGATCGATTACCTGCCAGGCCATTTCCACCAAGGTGGGGCTGGGCTCGGTCAACTCAGTCACAGAACGTAAGCAAAAGTCGCCCAGTCAATCCATACACAGAAAACCCTTGTTGAGCTAGAACAGGACATCCTTGTCAACGTTTCGGTCCCAAGCAGCGTGCTGTGGCCTTGAGTAAAGGCCAGCCCGACACAACTAGCGCATGGGGGAGGGAACCACTCACCGGATGGGAAAGGTCGAATCATACTGGAACTGCTTCAGCTCCGTGGGATACCCGATAGAGAGCAGCTGATCCACAAGCAGGTGGAATTGGAACGCCTCGTAATCAGGAGATTTGTACTCTGAAGGCAAAAAATTTCACTGGGGAGGGCTTCACAACCCACCAAGCACGCCACTTACGAGCCAAGGTGTAGTCCATGTCAAACCCGAAAAACTTGATCTTGTCCAGGTGCAGACTTCGGTTGACAAAGATCCTGCATGGGCCATCCCCAGATGAGCACCCTTCGAGGACAAGGTTTCCGCTTCCCCTGGTTAGGTACCTACCTGTGGTGTGGTGCCCGGTAGTACTTTTTAGGTGCTCCGGACTGGGCTCCATCGTCGATGGCCACCGACGCCACACCATCTGCGATGGTCTGCGACGCCCTGTGGACCTACAGGAAGACGTTGCGTGCAATGTAAGTGACCACACAAATGTCACAAACGGAGGATAGCTTAAAAAATGGACACATGTGAGGATCAGCATAAAGCATGCAAAATGTTCTAACCACCCATGTCGGATCAGATAAAACAAACTATCGACTGTTTGACTCTGCATAGAACATTTCCTCAAAACGTAACCAATCTAGTGTACCATCACCTTTTTGAAGGCAGTAGCCATGGATAGAGCTACGGCACGCAAATACACAAGGATGGTCGTTCCAAGTTCTATATTCCAGGCAAAACGGATTTGAGACATGCCATTCGCAAGACACATATTCCCACTTGTTCGGGAGGCCTAGTTCAAGCGCAACCGGAATGATGTCCCGGGAAATGGAGTATCCTAAACTGCATTTCGTGTAGCACGCGCGAGGCAAGAGAGCGCGTTTTAACACGTCCAGCCGGCTCAAGTGCCGCACATACCTCGGCCTCACCGCCAACCTGACCGACGCACGCCATAAGCGAGGCTTCGCGATCCTTGGTCACCAATATGTCACTGTCGTCCGTCCCAGAGAGCATAGCAGCTCCCGTGCTCAAACCGAATGCACCCGCGCCGCCCCCAGCCAGGGACGGCTCTACAGAAAGGCGAGGGTGAGCGACCGCCTCCCTTAAATTTCTGCCTGCCCCCCCCCCCCCCCCCCCCAAAAAAAAAAAAGAAAAGAAAAAAGCTGTCGGAAAAAAAAAAAGGGGGGGGGGGGGGTTAGTCCGCAAATGTCGTGCTTTCCCGAGAGGCAAGTTAACGTCGCACATCACGGGCACTTCAGCAATGGACGCCGAGCGTCCGCCCTTGGAAGCAAGCAGAGAACTTTCTTTGGTGCTCACCCCCAACTTCTCTGTGCTACACTGCCAAAGCTACCATAGTTCCCGTAGTGCTCCCGTAAAAACAAAGAGAGAGAGAGAGATGGGATGCAATGAAGAAAAACGCGCCCCTCACACCCTCTCCCTACGTACGTGGGGGAACTGGAGCGCTGCGAAAACTGGCCGCTACCTTGAAAACGTTGGACAAACCAGTTGAAGACCAGTGGTTTTTGACGCATGGCGGCCACCTGCCCCTGACCTATCTTATTTATATTGTACCAATATTAAGTTCAAAGCAACAGACGTAATTTGCCAGAACAACTTTTATTTAGGCAAAACAATGAAGTACAAACGTGCGCAGGTATCTGCCCGTCACGTTTCATTTCTTGAAGCTGAAGCGGCGCTTGATGCTTTTACCTCAAATTTTCCTTTCTTTTTCTCTCGGTTATTCCGGCCAGAATAGTGATTGTATAATATATTCATGGTGTTTGTTTTCAATTAAAGGAAGAAAACAAATGTCTTAATCATACTGATAAGGTTGGGGAGGCACAGAGTATATTATGAATGAGCTATGCACGTGCGATGTGTGGTTGTGCAAGCTAATAATAGCTTGCACAACCACACACAGTTACGATTTGTTTAGATTTGCCCCTGAATGGTAAGGAACTTGTTAAGCCTGCCCCAATTTTGTGATGCAGTGCTTGCAAAGCCACAGAGCATGTGCCTAGCTCATTCATAACAGATTCTGTGCCTGTCTGAGGTTATCAGTATAATCAAGACAAGTTTAAAGGGCTGTGAAACGAGTCCCTTACTTTCGCTATATACTACTCCCAATTATTTCTCTTCGTTCATAGCCCACGGAAAAGACGTTAACTTTTGTCTCCACAGAATGGCAATTGAAGAAAAAATAGAGCAAAACGAGCAGCGTTCCCATCCTCAACTGGCAGCCATAACAAGGGACTACGTGATCCGGGGCCGATACTATGCCGCCAACGTGAATCCCAGCCACGCGTTTGGCAAAACGCGCACGTTTTGTCGAGAGCGCGCGTCCTGAGCTCCAGACATAGTTGGAGTTTGGCTATTCCCGTGACCGCAGGGATAGGACACAAGCCACTGTCCGAGTGTTCGCCGAGGCATTGATTGTTGCGAGGCCAAGTCGAATGCTCACGCAATGCTCGTGTCCAATCCTTAAGCCTTGCTCGACCGTCGTCACATGGGTACCGCGATCCCCCAAAACCAAATGTCACCGAGCTTCACGAAGGAGAGATTGACAAAAATAGACCACTTTATTCTTGCAATTTCATAACGACGAAAAAGCTTCTAGAGCAGTGGCGCCCCGTTTTGAGCATACTTAGGTCAGACCTGTGATGGACAAAATACTCGATAAAAGTATTTACGTTAAGTTACTAAATACCTGCTTCATAAAGTATTTAAAATACTACTCAAGTTACTTTCACATTGAAGTATCTTGAGTAGAGTACAAATAACTAGAAAAGAAATTCGATTACTTTTGAAGATACTTCCGCATTCCGCAATTTGCATCGACGTCAGTGACAAACACAATTATACGGTTGCACAAATCTGGATTACCAGAATGATTTATTGGCACGCAATACCGCAAATATCATCGTAGGGCTATTTGATGCAGTTAACCATTAGGAGCAGAATATCACTCCCTTGATACATGCTACAAAACATTTCTGGGAAAAAAAAAAAAAAGAAATGTTGCTTTACCTATTCGCTACTTTCACGACTTATAAGGGGCGAGCTGGTGCGAACTAAACGGCTGTCATCTATTTGATCGTCGTAAAACAGCAGTAAGAGGCGGGGTTCGCGACGCGTAATTCTGGTTTTGCTTTATACGACCAGCATTAGAGCCTTACTTTATATTTCCCGCCAGGAAGGTGTAGGCAATTACCCTTTTTGTGAAGCCGATTATCCAGGAGCTAGAGAGCGCGATACTCACAACACAGTGCCACCATCGCTGAAAGTTGCAAATGGTGACATCGCTGAATATCACGTCCTGCTGCGCACCTTAGACGCATCGTTTAACTACAATCCATATTACCTATATGGGAAGTTCACTATAAACAAACTTGGGATACGAAAATGAGTCAATGGATAACAAAGAGAGCCCACAGAATAGCCACGGCACTGGTCGCTCCTTCTTCAAGTAGGTTGCGTTCAGAAAGGCACTCAAGGTTGGGGGACGCTTTGTTGGCATTTGAAGAGGTCCTCCTGCTCGTAGCTCGTTTCCCCTCCTGTTCTCTGTTTATCAATGTTCGCCTACAGACAGTGTTCGCCAGAGCAATAAGTGCCAGACAGACGGTAAAAAGAAAAAAAACAAAAAAACCTCGACGTTTTGCCGTATTGGAGTGAAATATTCAAGCAAAACAAAAGTGTCTTCCTTTTGCGTCCACTTCTCATTTTCTTCTATTTGCTATTTTCTTAACACCGAAGTCTGCATTATTGTCGCAGGTTGTTTCCCGTTCTGCTTTGCGTCTCAGTATGGCAATCTTTACTTCCGTAAAACCACCCCTTTTGTTTGAAAATTGTTTTGGGGGCAAACTCTAGGAAACAAAAGGCGTCTTTGAGAACACAAGGGGAAAACCTTGATTGTACGAACTTTGGGTTGAAATATGAGTCACGTTCGGCACAAGAGCGATGTTTTCACGAGCTTAATCTAAGTCACCATAGCTTATCGGAGCTAGCAACAGGATTTGGTCACCAAAAATAATGTTCACGTTTGCTTCTGCCACGCCCACGCCACTTCACACCGAAAAACAAAAAAAAAATGGAGGAATGTCAACAATGCATTTGGATAATGAGAACAAGATACTCCGAAATGTAATTAAAATACAGCATCAAATACTCTCGACCAAAAGTATTTGCAAGATACCAAGATATTTCAAAAAGTATTTGAAATACAGCATTCGAGTAGCGTATTTGTGATAGGCAGAAGGCTGGTATAGTCTTGCATCCCTTGTCCCTTATAATTAGGTTTCCGCGTTTTCTGATAAATCCGAAGAACTCGGAAAAATCACCCGCCGGTAAAATGTTGGTCACTTCGAATTCATAAGGTAAACTCCCGATTTTTATAATAATCTCCCCCCCCCCCCCCCCCTTAATAAAAAAGTTGGTGTTTTACAATTAGGTTTGATCAGCGCAGAGGGTCCTTGGTCTGGGGAAAATGCCACCACAGTTATCTTCCCAATCTCAGATTATTGTCCAAAGGGGTCTTACGGCTTATCTCAACAACGTACATTCAGGACAAGGCCCTTGTACTTTCAGGTCACGACAAAAGCCACTGTTTTTGTTTCCAGTTTTGGCCAGAGTATTTGTGCTTTAGAGAAAGGACATAAAATGGGGAAGAGGGACAGTTGAAACTTTTCTTTCTCATTCTTTACCACACCACCTCGCGCGGCCGCAGGGTAGGTTGATGGAATAGGGTGGTAAGAGTGCGAGCTTCCCAGCGACTACGTTCAGGAGTGTATCGATTTTAAGGTATCGACGTTTATCGAAGCAACAATTGTGGGCAGCTTTTGTCGAGGGACAAATTAGTATTGCCAATGGCAACGGCACCGACGCCGAATCCAGTTGCAGAAATAATAACTCGTACAAGCGCGCTTTATTTTTTTATCTGGCATACGTTTACATCCGGATATTATTTATTTAATTGTAATAGGAAACACTGCGAAATTAAACTCCAAGCTTAAAAAAAAAATAGAAATCAAGCGAAAAAAAAAGACTCTGATAGACTTTGAATTTTTGCAAGAAATAAACTCCTAAAACACCCTCCGAATTTAACGACAAATAAACTCTGAAAACATGAAATCCTACATAGAATATACCTAAAAACTTCAGCTCTACGTACAGTGTCACAGACGTCGAACAGACTGTACCAACTTTCACGAGTGGCTGGATAGTCGAGTGGTACAACTTATTAAAATGTCTAATGTGCGTGTCACTAATAACAAAATAAAGGGAAAAAAATATCGTTTTCTTTTACCCTATTGCGAAACCAGTTTCTTTCTTCTTTTTTTCTTTTGTCTTTGATACGTATTTTAGCTGCTTAATAAGTTATATCCCACCGGTCATCAAGCCCCTGGTAAAAGTTGGGGCCGTTTGTTCGACGTCAGTGCGCTGTATGTCCAACTGCAGCTTTGGGGTGCATGATAGGGGACAAAGGGTGTAAGACGACACCCTTTTTTCTGAGAGTGTAGGGAGCCGGATGTTTCGACGATCAACGTATTCAGCATAAGGAATTTATGCACAATGCGAAGCTTAGCTAACAGACTCTTCGGCTTCTTTTGATCACGTTCTATTCTACAACCACATAATATCAAAAATAATATAATCAATTACCAATGCGTTCCATAGTGAAAACGCGAGTTAAAAATACCGCAAAAACTAGTTTCGTTCTCTCGAGATGTCAAACGTTTACCAGATCGCTTATGCCCTCACTGTTATTCTTATGAACAAGCTGGAACTTTAGTTCACAAACGTTGGCTATATTGTCGACGCTTGGGGTGCACAAGCTTTTAAAACGCAGTGCGATCCTCCTCGTGGTCTTTCTGCTGACGAACTTACGCGCGTCCGAGATAATTTTTTTAACGACTTATTCGTTTAGAGTTTGCAATGTTTTTCAAAATATTTTGAAATTCCCTTCGACAAACAAAACGCCATAAAAATATGGGGTTCCTATTATGCTCTATGGGATTAATTTCAGAAGAAACAAAAGAAGGGCATTTTGAGTACACAAGAGAAAGAATGTGGATTAAATGATATCCAATAAATACATTCCATATACATTTCGATTTGATGATGCCTATATTCGGCGCTAAGTCATCCTCAGTTGCGTATACTTCAGGCGAGATTTCTGCTCGGCAGCAGAAAGATTTCCGCCTATTGCGACAGCCTGTTATGAAGGTAAACATAAACAACTAAAACAGGACCCCCCCCCCCCCCCCCCCCCCCCGAATTCAATAATCATGGCGTGAACCCCCCCCCCCCCCCCCCCCTTCCCTCCCTACAAACAAATCTGGCGGCGCCCCTGCCCGCACAGACCTCGTGCCACGCGATGTGCGCTGGTCGCTTCGGGCGGACGCCAGTAGCAGAGGACGTTCCCAAGCGCAGACTCTCGCCGCGCTTTTCGAACTCGGGACTTTCCGTCTGCGAGACGACGCCGACGACGCCGTGAACACCTAGGTTCCGTCCGGGCAGCGACGGGACGCAAACCTGAACCGCACTAACAACCTTTGACGGGGCATGGTATGTACGCTCGACAGTCGATGAACTAAGTGACTGCCACCGGCTCGACAGCGCCGATATACAGTTACGTGACCCATCGCCAGCGACGTGAAGGTTCCTGACGCCGTCGTAGCTGCTGATCGCTTTCTCGCTACTTTCTGCCTGTGCCCAGTCCCGCTGCAACGACACGCTCCCCGCGGTGGGGAGTGCAGCTTACTCGAGGCATTTCTGCTGCTGATGGGAGACACGACGCCGGCTGCTCTCCGGTTGACCCCGTTGACGCCCCTGGCAGGTACTCCGCTCAAGCAGTGACCGGCTTTATCGCGAGGCGCACGACCAAATAGTGCTCTTGCGTCGTCAAGCCCCGCTCGGGACAGCTGATAAGAGCATTTTGTGCGGGGAAAGTCCTCCGGCGACAAGCCACCGAGTTAAGCGCTCTTGTCACACTGGCGGCCGTTATCAGTCGCGGCCCCTGGCGCAGATTACCGCAATAATCTACTTCGTCTGGCGCGCACGTCCTTCTTATCTGTTGCTCGCTGCAACCCTCAATCGTGCAAGAAAAAAAAAAGTAAAATAAAGTCAAGAACACAAGTAACTCGGAAGAGCCTTCACGATTGGGGACGAAAAAGCAACTGGAGCGTCGTGGTTGGTACTCAAGCTCGCGAAACGTAATTCTTCATATATATATATAAAAAAAAAAAAAAGTCGTTACAGAAAAATAAAGAGGAGTTAACTACTTGTAACGTAGGCCGCTGTACGAACGGTCGAGCACAAATATAATCAAATGTTCGCACCGGCACTTTGCGAGTTGGAACCCAGGAAGCCTTGATCCCAAGTGGCCATCGCGGTCCTCAGGCCGGCGGCACGAGTGAGCAGAGCGGCGGCCACATCCGAGAGGCGGCGAGCGCCTCCCAGCAGCAGGAGTGTCGCCCCACTCGCATCCCGTGCGAAGCAGGCGGGATGACGGCAACCGAGCCACGCCGCGGACGGGTGGCCAGACACCGCGTCCAGACCCCGACATGACGTCGCGTAGCCCCGAGCGGGGCAACGCGCTGGAATGCCGCGACCTGACGGAAGCAGCTCGGATCGTTGCGTCATCGAACGTGCGCGCAAACCGAGCGCGCCGCAACACAGCCCAGAGCGCGACGGTGATCCCCCGTCAACGTGTGCCGTGACGCAAGCCGACCTCGAAGGCCGCGCACACGACGACGGTGACGACGGCTTGCGACCGGCCGCGGTGGCGTGATACGTCCCGGCAGGCAACGCGCTTCCGTCGGCGAAACGGCTCCGTCAAGCGAGCGACGACACGGCAGGCCAACGACCAATGAACGCTCCATCGCACCGCCGGGCCCCCGGCACGAACCCCGGCACCCGAAAATCGAGCAACGGGGCAGCGCTTCTCTCGATCGCCCCCTCTCCCGAGCACACCCCTCTCCCTTCCAAAACGTCCGCGGAGGCCACTTACGTCGTCGAAGAACACGTTGGACGCCTTGCATTCCGTGGTTCGCATGACGACAAACACGCAAAAGCGCCGCCACGACGCGCGCCTCGTTCCTTTATAGGACGCCCTCGCTGCATCCGCCGCGCGGCGCCCAATGGCTGCTCGCCTCCCCTCCTCGACGCCCTCGCGAGCTCGCCGACCACACTTCGGCTTCTCGCCTGGGGTCGGCTTTAGGGTCGCCATGCAGCCCGCCCGAATTCGCAGCCCGGCCCAATTTTCCCAACTTCCCCAAAAACTGCTTAGGGTCCTCCGTCCGCGATCCACACGCGCCCGAATATTCATCCCGGCCTATTTGCCAGGCCTCCCGCACCCGCAAACGTCCGGAAAGAATATTAAACAGCGAGAAGAAGAAAGATAAAAAATAAAAAAGAGGGTGCGCTGGTTATCACTTAATTAGTAGCGACCCAAAAGCATTGAACATTTTGCTCGACCTGCATCTCCTCACCCATGCAAAAAAAAAAAAAAGAAAAGAAGTACTGTATATATATACATCTCTTTTTTTTAAGGTTAATGTTAATTCAATTTTTGTAAAAACACGGGTTATGAAATTCAAAGCCTCAGCCAGGGGGAAGTGGGGCCTCATAGAACCACTCCCGCACGCACGCACGAAAAAAATTCCTCACTGGATGGCTTCGATAACTTTCTGGATCGTGCCGTAATATCCCGAAAGAGAAACACCAATAGGCCGGCTCAAGAGCCCCGGGGTCACGAACACAAGGATAGCTCCGTACCATCAAAGCTCCTCCTCGACGGCGGTATGTGGGCTTCGCGAGAAATGCTAGCCCTTCCGTCTGACCCCCCCCCCCGCCAAGCTACTTGTTTCCTAGCAGACAGCTCAGCCCCGTCAGAGACAGCGGTACGTGCGCCATACCTCTGGCAGAACAATTGTCTCCTTTCCTACAGTTTGCCCCGACAGACAAAGCAACATCACTCCCGTCACTGTCACGCGCACTCAGAATCCCAGTGCATACCCGGGACCGTAGAACCTTAAAGATCATTCCGAACAAATTACCCGCACAAGTCTTTGGCCACCTCAACGCACCACCATGAGACATTAGGAAATTCATAACGCTCCAATTTAGAGTAAACTTGCACTTACACATGCAGGAGAAACCAACCAAAAATCAAGTGTTAAAACCTGGACCGGATGCTACTTATTCATTTTGAAGACAGCGCACAAAAGACGGGGACAAAGAAGTCCGATTCGACAGTCGAGCGCACGTCTGTCGTACATCTCCTATATCGTACCGTCTTTTTTTTTTTTTTTTTTTTTTTTTTGTTTTGTTTTGTAGGTATTTGAAAAGCGCGTAAAATTTGGAATTCGAAAAAAATAGCACCACGTAATTTCTTTTATTAGACCATGCGTCGATTGTTAACTCACCGCAATCGCAAATGTTCTTTTTTTTTTTGTTTTTTTAACAAACCACACTTGCGAGCAGACTTGTACCGTACGCATTACAAGTAATCAAATTACTTGTAATCGATTACTTTTTGGAGTAATTTTGTAAAAAGCTGATTACTTTTATTAGGCAGTAATCACAAGAGTAATCTGATTACTTTTCGAAGTAATAAATTACTTGTAACCGTTATAATCTGTCCACGGGACCCCCCCCCCCCCCCCCCCCCCCCCCGCACACGCCTTTTTTTTATAAAATGACAAAAATAAAATTTGCTTTTTTTTTTCGAACGAAAAAAAGAAAGATTTTTGCGGAGCTGTAGGAAACGAGGTCAATCTCTTTCTATGTACAATTTCTGTGGAATGTCCGTTTTTTTTGTTTTTTTTTCGAGCTGGGACTGGGAGTGGGAAGCCCCAGGGAAGCCACGGTGCCTGACAAAGGCCATTCAGGACGAAGTTTGAGGAAGCAGAATGTAGCTTTGTAAGTACTTCGTTCACACTTGCCCCCTCACGCACACACACACAGAAATAAAAAAAAAATAAAAAAATCCTGCTTAGGGTACCTACTCGCAGCCCGTAGGAGAACCAGAACCGAAGAATGCCTAAAGTGGATACAAAATATAACAAAGGCAGTTGAAACATTTCCCCATTTCCCCTACGTGGTGTTTGTGACGAGCAATGTTTCGAGTTGAGAAGTGGTCGGGGCGATTTCTTCCGCTAATGGATACTACACATGATCCGTTTCAAATCCTGGAGCTGCTGCTCTTTTGTATAACATGCGAGCTCATCCACATGTGAATAATAAAATGAGCGACGCAAACTTTGATTGACAACCCTTGCTCAAGCTTAACAAGATCTAGAACCGCCTCCGCTCCCTCCCCCCCCCCCCCCCCCCCCCCCCCCCCTTCACACACACACTGGCGAACGCCCAAATCATTAAACGTCTTCGAACGAATTCTATGCTTGTATCCGCGTAGTGAAGGTGCAACGACCACGAAGAGGGAGCCAGTTTTTCTTCTTCAATACTTGTGCAAATGTGAAATATAGGTTGGAAGTAGTTCATTGTTATGAGCGCTAAAGATGTGTCTTCACACAATAAAGTAATCGGAAAAGTAACGATTACTTCTTTAAGTAATGTCCAATTACTTTTGCCGTCGAGTAATCAAGTAATCTAATCGAATAATTTTTAGCCAAGAGTAATAGTAATTGTAATCGATTACTTGTTTTTAGTAACGTGTACAAGACTGCTTGCGAGGTACATCTATGTGCAGTAAATAACTTGTTTTCGTCTTGTTTCTTTGTCAATTTCGGCAGGTTTTTGGCGCATCTGTGTCCTAGCCAAAAACGCAGAGATATCGGGCCAAAATCGCAACACGACAAAAGCAAATAGCGTTCATCGCTATTTAAAAAAAAATATAATAATAATAATAATAATAATAATAATAATAATAATAATAATAATAATAATAAAAAGGCTATGGTTAATATTGCAAGGACATCGCAAATGTGTAAAAAAAAACTCCAATAAAACTCCACGTATTGGTCATTTTTCGAAGAATAAATAAAATAAATATAATAGAAAAATGGCGTGGGAACTGACGAAAATAATCCCTGGAGAAGGGGAACAAGAGGGACAAAGGACAAACGCAAATCTCCAAACACAGCTACGTGTTTGGATATTTGTGTTTGTCCTTTGTCACTGTTGTTCCCCTACTCCAGAGATTATTTTCGTTTCCCCAACCCGTTCACCCCGAAGCTGACAGTGCTGTGGAAGCTACGTACTCGTTGGACCAGCCACACTCTTGCCACGTGATCACGCTCTCTCGCGCATACTCACGCGCTGAGAATGAGGCCAGGTGATGAAAGGGAGGCGGTTAATTTGTCCGGCAGGCGCGTAGCTTCTATCACACTGTCAGCTTAGGGATGAAGGGAATAAGTGAAATCCGGTGTCGTGTGGCGTGCGTTTGGGCCCTGTGACGCGCTGCGGGGACCCCGGATGTATCATAGTGAAAAGACAGAGCTAGAGCTTACGAAGAGAAGGAGGTACGAAATAGTCCGCTGTGTTTTCAAATTTTCGTACCCAAAATCAGGCTTTTGACTTTCTGCCTTTTTTTCTTTTGGCTTTGGCCCACTGAACGATGTGCTATTAGTAAAATTCCAATATAAATTGATTTATTCCAGCCCAAAATTCGTTTCGTGGGCCCTTTAACTGTTGGGCTTTTACGGATGAACTGAAGATCCCTTTTCTGGCGCGAGTGGTCCCAAACTTTATAATATAAACCTGACCCATATAACCCTCTCTACAGGGGAGAAGCCTGGTCGACCGGTATTTCGCAAACTGTAACCAAAATTTAAGATAGAGAAAAGCAGAGGTGGAGTGAGGAGAGATCACAGGAAAGGCTAGCAGATTAAGCTCATGCCGCAAAGCTCCCGACTCATTCTACTTTAGCATATGGAACCCTGGAAAGTGGCGAAAAAGAAACCACCAATCATTGATAGTAGATATCTTGTTGCAGGGACTTCTCTTTTTCTTACGTTGCAACAGACTGTCTGCCTCCGTTGTCCAATCTCCTCAACCTTGGTGACTCAGAAGCACAAGTTTCTAACCGGAGACGACGGACCACAAGAGGGACTCCAGCCGTGTCCGTGATTTATCTAGCTCCGTTGGATTTGACCGTGTGGCAGTGGTACAGTCAGTCATTACTTGGTTAGTAATTAAATTACAGTAGTTCAGATTACGGTAACTTAATTACTTTTCTTGGTAATCTCTAATTGTAATAATAACTTTCGGCTAAAAGGAATTGTAATTGTAATTTAATTACTTTTAAGCATCAGTAATTGCAAAATTTCAGGCACAATTACAATTACTTTTTCAAGTCTGTGGAGCCACCGGAACCTCCCGGAAGGCCTCTGCGCTCGTGCAAGTGGCCTAGCGTTCGGTGCCACACTCACACACGTAGACACACACGCACATACACACTCAACAAAAATAGAATTGCGTTGTTTGTTGTTTTGTTGCTTACACTGCGGGCTTAGAGACTATCCTCTTTGGAATCTGCTTCAACGGCGCCGTGTGGCGCCGTCTGCCGGAGCGAGCAGAAAACAATAACATAAACATGCTGAAATATTGAAAAAAAAAATTGAGCTAAAGCTTTCAGCCGAGCTTGAAATTTTTCATTGTCTATAAAGTTTTTCTTTTTTCAGTTTTTTTTTACGTTTTTCTTTAGTACTTTAGCATATTTGTATCTTTGTATTATTTTCAAGTTTATTTCCTGTTGGTTTTACTTCAGATATTATTTGCATAAGCATTTTGGAAACTGACCTCGAACCTGTGAATATTGTCACCAATGATTCGGAAGCCCCGATTCGGTTCTTATATATTTCTGAACCATTATAATTTCAAATCAGTGGAAATTATTCACAATACCATGATGTTTGTATGTGAATACGGTCGTATTGACCCGTGTGAATTTTAGTTTTATATTAATAGTTGTAAAATATTA